GTACCTGTTTATACAGAATGGCTGAGGAAGGAGCCTGTGTGCCTCTGGCTGTGGAGCGTGTGTTACCTGCCTGCAGTACAACCTGCTCCCTGGCACACAGGTCGAGCAGGGGGCTTGACCTTACTGTACATACCCTCTGTGGCTATAAGCCTGTTAATGAATGACACAGGTTGGGTGGCTTTGGACCACTTGTTGCAAGCAGTGGTGATTTTACAGCACAACAACAGTGTAGGCCTCTTACCTGTTCCTGCTTACTCCACCTCTTCTGCTCACTCAAACAATAGTACTTCTCTGCATTAACACCTTACAGTGCCTCATACTGCTGTGAGTGAACTGTTCCCAGTGCAGCTGGGCTAGAATTTCTGAAGTAAGTATTTCAAACTGATTAAGTTACCTAGAGTGAATCCCATGTTTTTTTCTTGCCTTCCATACTTCTTACTTGAAGAGAAAATTAATTCCTTGTTCAAAGACTTGTTTTGACTGATTTTGACAGTCCTGAAGCATTCAGAGCGACTTCTGGGGGAGGAGTATGCCCCTTACTGCATGTGCAATACTAGACCTTAAGTGACAGCTTGCTAGTCTACAAAACAGGTTGACTTGACAGTCTTCTAAGATTTACCTTCTCAAGCTTCCCTCACACTATTCCAAAGTCACCTTTGATCCTAAGTAGGTCAGACTAGCTGTGTTTGTTCCCTCAAGTTCTGTCTTCTAAGGCGTGCACTTCAGCTTTCACCACTCCTTCTTTTGCCTGCTTTGCATGACTTGCTCTGCTCTTGTTCCCTCCATCCCTCTGCCCTTGCCTCTGCCAGCAGACAGCTCTCTGAAGAGACAGTCTTAACTCCATCTCCAGTCAAAACCTATGGCGACTGGAATGTGTCTCATAGATGTCATCAGTATCTCATTTTCATTCCACTGACTGCCATTACTGGGAAGAGGTCCCTGAGGTCACTGAGCTCTTGATGTAACCATCACAGTTACATTCCTAGAGGGAAATGGACTGAAAACAGGTCAAGCCTCCCCCGGCATGGATCATGGCAGCCCTACTTTTGAGGGGCTGAGAGGTGTGAGAGCAGGACTGCGGTAATTCCATGAACTGCTGCTTGTACTAACTCTGTGTTCATTAGCCAGCTGCTCTGTATGCTTTGGCTGAGAGTGAAGTTATAAATTGATTTCTACCAGAACATCATGGTGGCAAAGGCCAGAGCTGTGGCTGGCGCTTCTGGGGAAGGCAGTGGGCTCCTATAAGGCAGTTACTGCCACTTGTCAAATCTGAAATTACTGAGATGCAGCCAAACTCACCTACATTATAACCCCGACTGAACTCCTAGCTACGCTGCACCTGTTAAAAGTTTCTGACATAAAAGCAGAGCTTTTCTAGCACGTTCAGACATTACAGCATTATAATACAGTATCACTACTATAGTATAGAAAAAAGACCACAGCTGGAAATTCAGGTAGAATAACAGTGCTCATCATCAGAGGTGTTCTCCCTTCCGTGCCACCTTGCTGGGCATCAGGCTGTCCCGTGCAGGCTCACATTATGAAGAAGTTAAAACCTCATAGTAGCTGTTGAAAGCAAGCCGCCTGAGAAGTACCACAGACCAGCTGAAAAGAGGCTGAAAGTGCAAACTGACCCATTCAGTGATGGGTGAGCAATCAGTAAGAGATGAGGAGCTGGCAGGGCAGAGGCCTGCTCAGGGACACCCAGCTCCACATCCTTCTGCAAAAAATGCTGATGTAAAGCATCTGTGAGGACATGGTCTCTTTCTGACAGGAATATAAGGGGGAGGGAGTAAGAAATGAGGAATACTTTCTGCTCACATTTAGCCTTTGTACTGAATGTTAGGAAAGCTGTTGAGTGCAGACAACATCCAAGTGTCTAACAACATAGGCAGGGAGTACCTCACACCACAAGTGCTTTGCACAGGAAAGCTGCAATCTTACCCAAGTGTCTGAATCCATCAGTCCCAGAGCCTCTTCTTTACTTCCACGAGGCTACCAGCACAGAAAAGGTAGGCATTCAGCTGAACTACTGTCCTGCTGCTGGCGAGGTACAAGCATCACTGCACACATCATTTGTTTAAACTGGACATTGGTGCCAAGCAGAATTCAACAGCACCAAAATAAATCCCATTTACTTTCATTGTGGGACACGGGTTTCCTTATAGCCCCAGGGCAGCCAGAACCAGACTTGTGTGCAAAGCACTAAAGCTGTGACCTACCGTGCTGAGCAGTGTGTACTGCCCATAGACATCATAGCAAGAAGTGGGCTGTAAATGAACAAGTGAGGCAATTGGAGAAACAGCACACTTGGAAAAGAGCAATCCCAAACGTTTTAATGCTGGAGCTAGGGAACATGCTGCACATAGGAAGCTGGAAGCAGAGCAAGTCTGCAAACAGGATAGACACCCATCAACCAAGGACTGCTCAGCCACAAGACTGAAGATCAAAATACACCCTTGGCAGCTTGGGAATGGGAGACATACCACCACAGTACCTCAGCAAACCAGTGGCACACAGTCTGAGAGAGGAGGTGGCTCATGCAGTGACTGGGCCTGTGAAAACATGTCTTTCTACTCTTTCTGTGTAAAAGCTTAGAGGAGGGGAAATACACTTTAAATATTTAAATATATTTAAATATATTTTATTTTAAATACATGTATTAAAAAAAAAAAAAACCACAACATTATTTTCTGTCCCCTTCAGCAGATCTTCACAGAAATTGCCCTGCAGGGAGGTTGGCACGTTAGCACCCTATCAATGCATTAAATTACAAAAACAATGGAAACAACACAACAAATCTGCGTCTGTAGCACACTGACCAGTGTACAACACAACAAGCACCAGTGGCAGCACAAAGCAGGAGTCACAACAGCAGAGTCAGGGGAAGAACCAAAGCAGATCAGGCCAGCAGGGAACAAAAGACCCAGAGACTCGCCCTGTTCTCCAGCTTCTCAGAAGACTGCATACGAAGAAGCTTAGCCCGTACCTGTACCACACACCACCTCCAAAAGCAGAACTGGGCAGAGATGTTTGTTTTCAGTGGAGCACACCAGATTATTCTGTTTATAGCACTCATCTCATGAGAGAAATAACAGCTAGTACATTTATGAGAGATACCTGAGGCCTTGTCCAAGAGCATTTGGCTTAGAAAATTCATAAGCAGAAAGGTAATTCCAGTCACAGCCCACATCTCCTGCTAAACAGCAAAAAAGGAAGCAAAGCAACAACTTCACCTTGAGCATCACCTGCCTCTGAGATGAATCTGAAAGCAGCGCGCATAGCAAAGCAAACAAGGAGCAGCCAAGCAACAAACAGCAGCTCAAAAGGACGTGGCAGGAAATGTCTCCCCCTCAGCCAGAGGGCCAAAGACTTATAGTTAATGAAGCCACAGACAGTGTTTTAAATAAAACTGTAAACCATGGTTTGAGAACAATTAGAGGGTGCACACTCTCTTACAGTACCCAATACAAGAGACTATCACCTGTGGAATGAAGGTGATGACCCATGTGCTTTGGAAGAGATTGGCCTTCACATTTCAGCTCCACTTGATTTCTTTCTAGTTAATCTATCATGTTGTTCACAACCTACCCTTTAAAGAAAGCTTTAGCTGGGCAGCTGATAGCATATCCACAAGCTTGCAGGCCAGTGTTCATAGGAACAAGTGCTTTCTCCCATTATCAGCCCACTGCCTAGGTGTTCTATAGAAAATGAGGAAGGAACTGATTTGCAGCCTTCACGCCTACAGTCTTTAGACAGGAATACAATTCACTTGCCCTCATTAGCACCACAATGCTTTGATCTGATACTTAACAGCATGAAGCCAAATGTGTAGAAGCTTTACAGAAGAGAGCATTGCAGCCTAACCCCTGCCTCGAGATCCAATATCAGGATCTTCCCACCAGTATAGGCTTCTAGCACACCAGGGTGCGGGATATCCATGATCCCTTCTGGCAGACGGGTGAATGTCGCACATTCTAAACTTCCAGACAGCATCATCTGGATGAGGAGGACAAAACCGCCTGCAGCTGCTATTTAAAGCTGCTGAATATTCTGGTGTGTCTGATGACAGGAGGCAGAGGCTGCTCCATGACGGACAATGAGGACCTGCACGGGCATGGCCATGATGAGCAGGTTTTCTTCAGTTGTCAAGTCTCATGTGAGCCTTTAACAAACCTACTGTGAAATACTGCAGGACGCCTGAGCAAGGATCCCATGTTCTATCCTGTACAACATACAGCATATGTCCATGTGTACACGCCTGTGTAACAACTCCAGGGTGGAGGCAGCAGACAGGAAGGCCCACCCTGCTACCTTTACTAGAAAATCTCCTAAGTTCCTTACTCTCTCTGACACAGTCACTCTTCCTAGGGCATCATTCCGGGGGATTCATTTCTACAAGACTGTGCTTTCAGACAGTGCGCAGCACGTCCTGAGGTTCAATTACTGCTATGGTTCAGATACGTACCTCAGTTGCCTGCGGGCTGTACCCCAGAAATCCACTCCAGGCTACATGGACTTTGGGAATGCAACCAAAAAACAGCCTGTTACTTCCTGCCACCAGGCAATAATTAATACCATCAAAAACTTACTACGCTCCTACTCCCAAATGCCTAGAGACAATCTTTTGCTGCTAAGTACTCTAAAGTACTAAGAGGTATTGAAGCAAGTCGCCTTTGGCAATCACCTAGTCTTGTGTTGTACTAGAAGATAGACTGTCACTGACTCCCAAATAGGGCTGCCCTCACCACTGGAACTGTGCTCCTGACATACACCCACACCATACATGGGGTTCTTGGGCATGCTTTTGCCTTTCACCAGCGACAGTATGCCGGGACTAACACACACAAACCTATCCCTGACCCAGCAAAGCAAGTGCTCCACCCTTCTGGTTACATGCTCATTCTGCTGCAGACAAGAGCTGCCACGCAATGGTGACGCAGGCTGTTAAACCCCAGTTCTAGAGCTGCAAGTATTTTTACAGCAGTATTTTACAGCAAGTATTTTTACCCTCCAAAGCTCAGGGAGGTGCTGCAAATCACCTGCAGCCAGCACACCAGTGGCAAGCTTGGCAACCATCCTGTCTCCCACAGGCCAGCCCAGCACCCAGGGGGCATGGACATGTTGCCTGCCTTCCTTCAGGGCTCTCATCCTGGGAGAAGGGAAAAACACCGTTGCCTTTGGAGCAGTTTGCTGAGCACAGTCCCAAAGAGCAAGGTGTTTTCAGTCATTAAACACCACGCCCGGGCAAGCTCTCAGTGTAACAGCAGCTAAGCCAAAGCACGGGCCAAAAGGCCGCCTTGTGTCTCCTCCTTCCAACTCCATATACTTGAAGGTAAACAACTGCATTCCTCTCATAGAAAAGACAGCACCAAGACAACTCTAGTGTCCCAACAAAAATAAAGAGAGACACCTCGCGTCTAACTTTGGATGCAAAATGTGCTCATCTGGTCAGTGCCAGTGCCTGTCAGAACCACTGTGCAAGGTGAGGAACACAAAATGCCAGCAGCTGGGGCACAGGGACATTACTAGGGCAAGGGGGAGAGGAAAACTAAGGCTTGCTTAACATTAACACATACATATGTGTAACAGTTATTCCTTTACAGCTTCATAAATTAATGAGCCCAAAAAAACAGGAGCCTTGAAGAGGACATGCCAAACCCCTGCTCTGCACGCCATGTTAATTATGATAATAGGCAGATTTTAATAAGCCAGTCCCTAGCTCCTGTACTTTCACCTGTAACACACACACACATTTCCTAGGCCAGGGGATACCAAAATCCCTGCCAGCCATCTAATGGTCTAAACCCCAGTGGCACAAACCCCATGTCAGAGCGTCTGTCACACCCTGTGTCCCTTTGAATTTTTCTAGTTAAAAACAAAATAATAAATAAATCAGGTGAAAGAAAACTCCTCATCTGTAAACCCCCATCTCGTCACAGCAATGGAACCGGGTGGCAGTAGTGGAGGAGACAGGAGGGTGAGAGGAGGGAGATGAAGGGATGGTAAATCATCTTCTCCAGACGACAGGGCCGGGCGGGCTCCTGCATTCCTGGCTGCGCAGTTCTGGCAGCTGGCGCTGCTCTTCCTCCAATGCTCTGGCAGAGAGTCTGGCAGCAGTGTCATGCACCCCAAACATCTGCCATCCAGCCCGTTGAAGTGTGCCTGTGCTGAACACTGGAGCCTGAAGGTGAGGAGGACAATGGGAGCCTGACGGATCAGCTAAGACTTCAGCTCCCGGTCAGGTTTCATGCTGAAGGGCTCCAGCCTCTCGCTCTCCGGCAGCATGCTATTCAGCCGCTCCATCAGTGGGATCGTCTGGTCGATGCCCATCTGTATACGGCGGAGGATGGCAGACATTTCGTTGACCTTCTGGATCTGCTCTGCATACTTGGCATACTTCTTCTGGCGCTCCTGCATGAAGCCATAAAGGGTTTCCACGGAGCAGTCCATCTGTTTAAAAACAACAAGCAGAGCGAGGCGCATTAGGCGGACTGTTAGCACAGGTCCTTCTGTAAAGTATCTTTCCTAAGAGCATCTGAGAAGCACCTTAAATACCCTACTGGAGATACAAGCTAGGTAAAAAGGAGTTCCTGTGTAGCTACATAACGAGTTTGTCATGAAATGGGATAATTCACAGCTGTGTACTAGGGAGGATAAATGACCACCTGAGTTCTACATCCAAACACTGAGAAAATTCTGTATTCACAGGGCTGAAAGCCAACAGGCACTGCCAGGGATATCCCAAATAAACCATCTGCATATTCTCCAAGTTATCCAAACCCAGGGAGCTCATAGCCTCTGCCTACACCCGTAGTGTATTTTCAGTGGAGACTGTTCATTTGCAAGTGTTAAGCTCTACCATACTTGCCAGACCTAATTTCAGCAGCTTAGCAAGGTTGCTCTGCAACTGAGCCACAGCTGTTATTACCATTATCACCTGGAAAACTCCTGCCTTGAGAGAGAACCACAGTGGATTACTAGCATCCCTAATTTCCCCGAATCCTAAAAATAGAAGTGTTATGACTGACCCCAAGAGAGACATTAAGTAAATCAGCCATGCAATTAAACACAGTAAGCACCCAAACATGGCTGGAGCATGGTGACAATGACAGGAACTGCAGTGCTATTCCTGCCATTGAGTGACGAAGGCAGCCTTTAAAATTCACAGCCCGACTTTCTCTTCAGACAGATCTGCAAACTCCAGGCAGGACAGCACTGTATGCACATGAGCCAGGTCAGACTGTTTCAGCTGTTTTACACACTGTAAGACATGTTATGTCTTACAGAGTGCTCGCTAACAGGACTACTCCAAGCCCTCAAGCGCACAGCCGAAGCTTGGGTGCTCTGGCTCACTGTAGCTGTGCTTGATGAGCACAGTTACTTCAGTATGCTGGCTGTTCAAATTGAACAGTGAGCACGCATCCTGCAAACATACTCTGTCCCCATGGAAAGCAGTACCCTCACCTGGGACTTGGTGCTTGCCCATAGTGGCTGCCGAGATAACGGCAGGAGTGGACATACACTGACCAGTTGCCTCCCTCTTACCACTGTTTTTCTGAACCTCTGCCATCCAATTACCTCCAGAGGAAGAGGTCATGGCTTGTGATGAGGCAGCCTCAGGGAATCTGTGCTGAGAACTCCTGGTCTACCAGGAAGCCCAGGCCAAATAACATCCCTCACTGGCAGAGACAAAGCATTTGGTGGAGAACAGCAACTGTACCTGTCGTCAGAGACAACACCACTTTATCAGTGCAGTGCTAAAATCCAAGCCGTGCTGACCAGATCTGACTGACTCTGTACTTAATCAGCAACTGTAATCCTGACCCAGTGTGCAGTGGTGCTGAGCTGCAGAGGAGAGCCTGCAGCAAGGGGAGGACTGGGTGGAAAGGATGCAAAGCTGGAAGGGGCATCCCTCACTCAGCAGGGAAGCTCCACCAAACATAGCACTGCCATCCCACTGGCAGCAGCACGGTATACCACTGGGGCAAAAGCTGGGGGAGCTGTGTTTGCTCCCTTTCAAGCCCTAGGGAAGAGTTCAAGTCAAAAATAGGCAAGCAAATATTTTATTGAGAAACCTAAGTTACAAACAGCATTGAAAACAAACACACAAGTTTCCGCTCAACTGTCATGGGGATTTAGAAGGCATTTTTTTCCACCTATCACCTCCATCAGAGCTGGATACAGCATCAATTAACCTCTTATTTCGTCTGTACTTTCTAGTGCTCTCAGGCAGATTTCTTCCTCTTTGCCTCTGTGCTTTCCTGTGAATTCCTTCCTCCACGCTTTCATGCACAGGACAAAATAAAAACCAGCAGAGCAGGAAATTCCAAATAGAGTAGAAACAATTTAAGCCTACACAGGGGTTTCTATTAAAACCCCAGCTTAATAATTTAGTAGCTTGGTGCTAGCTCTGTAAATTGGAGTGTGTAAAAGCAGACCACCACCAGGTCTGTTCGGGGTGGAAGTAAATTCAACCCAGTGCCTAAAAACATCCTACCTAATGAGAGACAGTGGTGTGGAGTGGCAGCCAGTAGGAAACCTGCCAAAAGCCAGCACGCCTCATTAAACTGAGCAGCATGGGGACCCAGGCAGAAACCTCCTCTGGTGCTGAAGTTCTCCTCCACAGGCAGGTTCTCCATGTGGCCTCAGCACAACAAGGCAAAGCTCACACCCACCAAGCTCTGCAACAAAAAGATACAAAGGCCCCCTTTTCTCTCTATTCCAATAAATTCCATCTGCTGACTCTTTGGCCCCATATGTAAATACCAGTAACATCCACTTACTGAAGGGGAAGCTGGAGCTGACCTGTAAAAGGAGGAAGAAATGCAGAGTGGCCTTCCAAGTTCTCAGCTACTTCTGGACACATTCACAATGGCTGTAAAAAAAGCTGCCTCACAAAAAAGAGAAAGGGTGGAAGTGAGTGCTTCCTATGGTTTCCCTACACCTAGTGTTCAAGTTTGCCAGCTGTGGGAGGCCACAGCAGCTGCACAGCCAGAGACACAACAAAGAGGACTGAAATTAAGTAACTGTAAGGAAAAGTCAACTTTTACTCAGTCTGAACCTGGTGTTTTTAACTAACAAATCAAGAAAACCCTCTGCATGTTAACGCCTGTATAGAAATGCCAATGCCTCTTTGCAGCTTTCCTTGAAGCTGGCCTAAATACACACTTACATCCTTCCTGCCTCCTCCCCTCCAAGCCATCTCCAGTGCCAGACCTTGTGCTTTTACCTCTCCTGGCAGGCAGATCCATTCCTCTGGCACTCTGACGGGGCCTTCAGTTGCAGGCCTCGGAGGGTCAGTGCTATTTGTCCACCACAGAGACTAAAACTGTCCTTTAGGAATCTGCAGTGAACAGGGAACACACATAAGAATCTGCTTAATTCCCATCTATTTAATTCCATGCAGTAGCAGTAAAAAGCACCCAGAGAAAGGGAGCTTAGGCAGAGTCTGCACCCTTGCCTACAGACAAGGAAGTCCATGCTTTTGAAGGCACCCTTGAGAGTCAGATGAGTGAATTTGCCTTCTCTGAGCAGCTTGTGTCAACTCCTCCCTGACCTTAGGCCCTGCCACATTCTCTTCTGGAAAGCACTCGGGTCTCAGCCTTCTTGCCCACCCCTGCCTGAGAAGCTTTCTGGGAAGCTCAGCAAGACACCTCAGAGCCAGCAGCTCTTTCAGTGCCCTATACCCATCTGCAAGTGTTTATCCAAACCATTGTTTCTGTTCTGCTTGCTTCCAGCTTCCTACTATGCCAGGCCACCACAGCTGCAGACAACTCCCCCATCAGCAGGTCACCAGCCTGCACCCATAAACTGTGACAGATGCGGAGCTGTGCTGTCACCAGGCCCTCAGTGACTTCACCACTGAGGCTTCACCATCAGCCATTTTCTCCTTCAAGCATCACCACTGAGTAAGCTATCATTGTCCCCAACTTATAGAGTTCAGAGAGTTGAAAGACACGACCTGAAATCTGTTTAGAACAGAAGCAGAGGGCAGAGCCCAGGATGCAAAGTCAGGGTCGTAATTCTCATCAAAGCAAGAGATTCTCCCCAGCCTGATCTTGGAGAAAAAAAGACATGCTCTCAGTGATAGGGTGAGACCTCCCACTGCACATTTTATTTCTTTCCAAAACCAGATCCTCCTTTTAAAGCAGCAAACCCAAGGCTGGACATGCCCAGAGCAGATGACAAGCTATTTTTGCCTTCTGACATCAAAAAGGATGGAAGAGTTTTTTCAGTTTTATTTCTAGTATAGTATCATAAAAATAGGCAAGCTGAAACTCACCTTCCAGCCTGACACACTTTTTTTGTACAGCCAGTGACATTCAGTATTTGGGTCTGTTCCTGTTTCAAAGCTCCTCCATAGATCAGTAGCAGCAGGACACTATGCTTCAGCTTCATGTTTTAAACATTAAATGACATCTACTGGTCTTTTCTGTCTTCAAATGAAAACAGATTCACAATTACCTCCTACAATAGTGCAAGACAGCTATTCCCCCACTTGAATGGGCCCCAGCACAGCCTCTCCTGCTACACCATTCCATGGTCAACCAGTAAGGGCTTGCAGACTCTCCCCTGCATTACACAGGCCCATTTGATGAAACACAAAAACAACTGAGGGTACTCTGAGACATCTTGCACACCACAAAATCTTGCATTCATTTTTGAATTCTTCTTGGCCCACACTGCCAAGCAGAATAAAGACATTAATTTAGCCCACAAAAAGACTGAGGTCAGCACCAGACACTGCTCAGTTCCTTTCGAGAGACCACACTGAAAACAAACCTGTCAGGGCCCTGTACATACCTCTTACCTGGCGTGATTTTATAGCACCTCCATCATGGGCATGCTCTCAGCATGCCCAGTGTCCTAAGCTCTCAGAAACAGAGGTAACATCTCATTAGTTCAACAACTGAGACTGAAAACTGCAGCTAGACGTATCTCCCTTGGTTGCAGAACATACAAATGCAATCATAAGTTCATTAAACTTGGAATCAAATTGCTAGAGAGGCACTGCTGACATTCGTAACAAAACAAATACGTAACAAAACATAAGAGGAAGCTCTGTCAATTCCAGCTTCTCTACTCTCTCCTTAAAATGCCAACAGGCAAGATGATGTTTTGTTTCCCCCAAACTCAGCAACAGCCTTCAAGAGCTCAGCTAGACATCCATTTGTGCTGTGTCCCTCTGCTGTCAGCTCCCATCCCCTATGGCTGCCACTCAAAAAAACACAGCAATTAAGGCACAAACCTTACTCCAGAAAGTTCACTTGCTAGAACAGCACCCCGAGCACAAGCAGCCTTTCCCTTCATGTTGTCAGGTGCCTGGCTGGAGTTAAATGGACTCCTTCCTGCAGCTGCACAAAAAAACCAGATCAGAAAGTGACAGGCAGGAACATGGCTGCATGGAATATTAGTCACAATGTGCTGGTGTGAAAATACTTCTCAATCAG